GCATCTGAAAAATGGGTTTATTCAACAAGTCTAAACTCACAAGATCTAGGAAGCAAACAGCAGATTTGACCAGAAAAATCCAAACTTAAAATACTTGAGCATTATTTCAGATTCTCTAGTCTAGTGTTTATTAAAATGTCCTTGTCAGTTCACTATAATTCACAGTTTAGTTAATAAACTCCAAAAATAATCAAATTAAAATAAAGCATTAGAAAAAAAATATTCCCATGGTTTTAACCTTTTGCAGGACAAACTTTATGTTAATATTTTATTTTCATTGGTCCTGAAGGGATATAAAATCTGCTGATGCATTACAGCTTTATAGTTGCTCTAAGGTATAAAGTTCAGATTGATTCCATATTTATTGCATCTTTTGATCATTTAGCTGACATTTGAAAGAAAATGAAAATTTTCTGTCATATCTCCTAAAATCTATGATTTTGCCTCAGTTTGGCTTGCACTCGGAACAAAGGCAACCTTTTCTGTCACATTTCTTAAAAGCTATGCTTTTGGAACAAATGAATCGGAATTTATAGCATCCATTATCAATGTGATAAGGAGGTTATCTGACAATATGGGACATTTGGTAAAATGCCAACAAATAATGTGGACTAGTATGAATTCAAATGATCTGAAATGGGTATACTATAAAAACTCATTTTCTATGACATACAGTGAAAAAAATACAATTTACCTTGTGTACATCTTAGTACTAATAACATTGACTGCCTTTTAGTATAATTGAGGAGCACTCCCATAACACAAAAATTGTAGATATATCCCCAAGGAAAACATGCATGTAACATGTTTTGCATATTTTCTTTGAGGGTCAGAGGTGTATGAAATTTTGGCTTGTAATAGCTGCAGGTCTAATGTCTGCAGATCCTGCAAGACTTCCCCTTCTTTCCCATCACAGACTTATGTGACTGTCAAACCAACGACTTCTTAAGAAGATGTGTTACAGCTCTGGGCAGGGCCAGCCTTAGGCCTTAAGGCGTCCTGTGCGAAAAATCTTAGCCCACCCACCCCCATCATACCCATTTATCCATGTACAGTGTATGTCAATAGGGGTGTAGTGTTTGTATATAGAATTTATTAAATTAATAATTATTTAAAAACAAAAATAATTCCCCCTTCCCTGTTGTTACCTTGCAGGGAGGTGGGCATGCTGAACTCTGGTGATCCAGTATGCTGGGAATCTGGTCGGCACCTCCACCGGGTGCAAGACCATAAGTAACTGTGTTGTGAGCTCAGGCACTTACAGTGTCAGAGCTTTCCTGTAGTAATCCGCGGCAACGTTCTGATTGGCCGGAGCTCGGAGGACAGCTACATATTGCATTTTGTATGAGAGAGCTCTGCTGTAATAAATCTCATAATAATATGATGTAGTGTTTGGTGTCTGTGTGTGATAGGTAGGGGAGCAGGGGGCACAGTGGTGGTATCTGGTGGAGCAAGGGCAGTGTATTCATAGGTTGGGGAGCAGGGGCACAGTGGTGGTAGCTGGTGGAACAGGGGTAGTGTAGTGGTAGGTGGGGGACCAGGTGGCACAGTGGTGGCAGCTGGTGGAGCAAGGGTAGTGTATTGGTAGGTTGGGGAGCAGGGGCACAGTGGTGGTAAGTAGGGGAGCAAAGGTAGTGTAGTGGTGGGTATGGGAGCAGGGGGCACAGTGGGGGAGCTGGAGTAGTGTAGTAGTAGGTAGGAGAGCAGGGGCAGGGGCACAGTGGGTAACTGGGGGAAGCAAGGGGCACAGTGTGTAAGTGGGGTAGCAGGAGCACAGTATGTAGCTGGGGCACAGTGGGTAGGTGGGTGAGCAGAGGGCACAGTGGGTAGCAGGGGAGCAGGGGCACAGTTAGGCTAGGGGGGCAGGGGGCACAGTTAGGCTAGGTGGGGGCAGGGGGCACAGTAGGCTAGGTGGGGGTAGGGGGCACAGTAGGCTAGGTGGGGGAAGCAGGGGGCACAGTTAGGCTAGGTGGGGAGGCTGGGGGCACAGTTAGGCTAGGTGGGGGGAGCAGAGGGCACAGTTCGGCTAGGTGGGGGAGAAGGGACAATTGCCTGTCGCTTAAGTTTCGCTCTACAGAGCTAAACAACCAGGAAGAAGCAGGTCGAGCTGTCTGACTGACAGCCAGGTAGCTGCAACAAAGTTTGTTATAAAAGTGCCAATTTCTACTGAAATTGGCACTTTTATAAAATGAAAAAAAAAAATAAACTCTTCACACATAAAGTGCTTCAGCAAGCTGAAAAAACTATTTGTTTGGAGTGTTTTTTTTGTTTTTAGTTGAGGGCTAGTTGTTATAATCTAGTTTTGGGGAAAACTGTTTTAAAACAGTTTGACAGAAACTGGGGGGTCCCAAAGCACAAGCAAATCGAAATGGTAAGTACTATGGAGAACACAGCAATATTGTAAAATAAATAAAGACAAATTAATGTAAACCAAGTTTAAAACAATACACCTGATAATAGAGCTTACCCTTTTCTATCCTACCCTTACCTTTTGTGTCCCTTAACCAAACTCCCTTTAGCATGTAAGCTCATTGAGCAGGGCCTAAATCCCTCTGTTTCTGTGCGTCCAACTTGTCTGGTTACAAATACGTGTCTGTTCGTCCTCCCATTGTACAGGGCTGTAGAATTTGTTGGCGCTTTATAAATAATAATAATAATAGATTACAGAATATTATCTAACCCCGTGATGGGTTAGACTCAAGAAAATGAGTACAATGTACATAGCAGAATGCTAATGAAACAAAGTATATACAAAGTATTCTACACTGAAACACCAATATACAAGTATAGTATCTCACTCTAAGTTGCTGAACGATAAAAAGTAATTTAAATAAATAGTACCGACTGATCGGCAATTGTGTAAAAAATCCACAAAGAACCCCTCACAACAAGCTTTATTCATATCTTGCCAACAATAGGATAAAAGTGGATACATTTAATGAAAAAAACAAGAGAAAAATAACTTTGGAAATCCCTGGCAGTTTCCTACAAATAGTAGTCTATAGCAAAATATACAGTGTTATTCATGATGCCTAAATTTTGTAATTCAGGCCCCAAATGGACCTGAATTTGGTCCAGATTTCAGCCAGACCGAATGGCAAAATCCAGACCAAATGTGACAAATTGAGACTTAGAGAATTAAACTCAGATTAAAATTTAAAAAAGCTTAACTATTTGCTCACTGGCAGCGCTAGCAGCCAGTGGGCAAATGGTTAAAATCCCTCGGCAGTGCTGGGGTTAAGTATGGGGTGACTGGCCAGCATTTTTCACACACTTTACCATGCAAATTTTCCCATGCTTTGTATGAGCTATTATTGCATGTGAACGCCTATAATAGGGCTTTACCTGTTCGAGGGTGCTCATTCTGCCCTCCACGGGTGCTAATGGTTTATTTTTTGTTGCGGTTAGGTTTTTTGCTGTATTTTCTTTTTGCTCCCATCTGAATTTTTTTTATTTTAATTAGTGGAGCTGGGAATTTTCAATTCATTTTTTTTGGCCCTACTGTTAGAAGAAATACGATGGTGAGTATACTTTATGGTGATAACGATGGTAAGTATCATTTTAAAAAAAAGATATTAGATTTATTTGGTCCTCCTCCTCACTATTATTAGGGTGAGGGGGGCTGGTAGGGACATTATATTAAGGTGTGACTAGGGGATCGAGGACACAATGGCATGTCCACCCCCAGTTCTTTAAGGTCCCTAGAAAACTAGCCACCCTCATTTTATAAAAATTAGGGCTCCAACCCACTGGTATGGGTGGGGGCCAGGGGAGGGGACACTAGGTCTTCCATTTATTATAAATATTGGGACACCCAGCCACCAGCATTGGTGAGGGCCAGTGGAGGGGACACAAGGTCCTCCCCCATTTTTTAACTATTAGGGCCACTGTTCACTGGAATGGGCAGCGATGGAGGCAGAGTTGCTAGTTTTATATGTTTAGTAGACATGGTCCCAGCTGCCAGTTGGCAGGGGGTTACATAGAAGTACATTATCTCCATAATAGTAATATGGGGGTCTTATTTATTCGGTTTATCTTCGGCCACCATAAGATTGTTGCTAAATCTCCAATTACGGGGGTCTGGAAATTGGTTCAGATGCAGAAATCACAGATTTTTCGAACTCATCTGAAGAAATGTTACAGAATCAGTCAGAATGGCTGAATTCTGAATTTGATCTTTTTACTGGATTTTGTCCAAAATCCAGTGTTTAGTGAATAACTCCGATAGCAACAAATAGTATATGGGATATGTTCCCTGTCTGTGGTGAATTGGTCCTTTTCATAAAATGGGGGAATTCCATATGCATGAACCATAGAAGACTGGGACCACATCCTGATGTCCCATATTTAGCTATAGACTGCTATTTGTATGGGGCAGCCTGCTTAACTGGAATTTGTAAAGCTATTTGTAATTTGCATATTTTTTCATTATTCTTTTTTCTTACTATAATAGAGCGATCGTCATTAATGGTCTATGTTTTTTTTTTCCTTGATGAAAAGTTGATAAGTGTTAGATAAATGCACTAGTCTTTTTACAACATTTTGTTTTTTAAATACTATCCATTTTGTTTCTTCTGATTTTTAATTTAAGTTTGTTGACAAATTAGTGTTAATTATGTAAAATCAGTGCATCTTAAAGTGGACTGGTTTCCATAGGGGTAATACCACAAATGTCAGAAGTAGAAAAAATATCCAATGCAATTGAGCCCAATGGATTATTGAATGTACACCAAAAAAAGTTGCCAAACCACTAAAGATACATATAAAGGCAAACCTACTAGAGAAAGTGTGCCCTCTAAAACACCAATATAATAATGAAACAAAAGCCAAACAGTAGGAATGCAAAAAGTAGTGAAATAATCACTTCTAAGGTGTAAATAAAATATACAACCTGATTATATAACAGCGTGGTGAAAAATATCTATAAAAAGATATATAAAACGCACATAGAGTAATAAAAGTATTATAATGTGAACACGCAAGGAGAATATATTAAACTCACAAAATATGAGTGAATATCAGGCCCATCATCCTCAATCAGAAATGATCTTCAGAAGGATATGAAGTAGATCTTCTTTAGCACTTGCAAAATGAATAGAGAAACCAAAAATAGTGCAGATAGAATAAAAATACAATGATTTTATTATAAAAATGCACTTACAAAAATCCAAGTAATAGACAGCATATAATCCACTCTACAGTAGAGATTGCAACAAGAGAGTCCCCAATGTAGTAATCCAACGCGTTTCGTCCTCTGGACTTCCTCAGGAATTGGGAATCTGTACTTCCAAAGAACTTCCTCCCTTTAAACCGCCTGAAAAATTGCTCGATATAGTTCATCTGTGTAGTGGGATCGTGGCGTGCGTGTCATGCTGGAACACATGACGGACGTCCGGCGTCACTTCCAGATCCGGTTTATTATTAGAATATGCTATGCGTTCCTCGCTGGAACGCAAAATTAGAAGCAGGAGAAAACGGACCGGGAGGGATACATCAGAGAACAGGACATGTGATTGAAGTGTCCCATTCAGAAAGGACACATAAATATATGTGAAAAAAAACTTCCAACTACAAAAAAATTATAATGAAAAATCAATAATAATAAGCAAAACAAAATAAGATGGAAATAAATATATATATATATATATATCTATATATATATATATATATATATATATATATGTTTATTTCCATCTTATTTTGTTTTGCTTATTATTATTGATTTTTCATTATAATAATTTATAATAAAATCATTGTATTTTTATTCTATCTGCACTATTTTTGGTTTCTCTTTTCATTTTGCAAGTCCTAAAGAAGATCTACTTCATATCCTTCTGAACATCATTTCTGATTGAGGATGATGGGCCTGATATTCACTCATACTTTGTGAGTTTAATATATTCTCCTTGCGTGTTCACATTATAATACTTTTATTATTCTATGTGTGTTTTAAATATCTTTTTATAGATATTTTTCACCACGCTGTTATATAATCAGGTTGTATATTTTATTTACACCATAGAAGTAATTATTTCACTACTTTTTGCATTCCTACTGTTTGGCTTTTGTTTGATTATTGAATGTAGACTAAATTACATTTTGTATTTCAACGGGTGAATTTGTCATAATTTACATATCTATTATCTACGTTGTTCATGTGTTGTGCACTCATCACACATTGTATATTTGGCACAAATATAGTGAATTTATCATCTAGAATTATATATTCATTATATGGCTTACTCATTACATAGTAAACTCCAGACATATATTCTTCACTTGTTCCATTTGTCACACAATACATGTTTTCTCTTTATGTATCCACTTAGTTTACTTGTCATATGGTTTACTCATCACACTATATATTTTCTTCAAACTATAAATGTAGCATGCATTACACATTCATCACATGGTTTAAAACATGACAAGGTCATAATTTACATATTCCTTACAAAGGCAAAGCAATATATATTACATGTTTACTCCTGGCCTCCTGATACCAAGAAGAACCACAGATTTTTTCAAACCATTCCTAAATAGTATCAAGTGACGCATAATAAAATAACCTATACGTTCTTTCCTGTCAAATATGCTTTATATTTGTGTTAAGCGTAAGATCATATTTTACTCCTTTGCATCAAGATACTTTTTGTTTAGTGTGTGATTAGCCTTAATTATTGTTCTTTCTTTTCTTTTGTTTAGTTTTTCCTGTTTTTCCCCCAAGTTCTTTTCATTTACTTCCCTGCATAACTTATGCACTTAGACCATTTCTGTACTGATGTGCAGGTTGCACACCTAAAAGTCTAGGATTTAGGGATTACCCAGGTGTGTCTAAGGTGTCTGGAAAAAAAAACACCTTATAGTCTAAGGTGTTTTTTTGTGTTTTTATTTAAATACCTTAGACACACCCGGGTAATCCCTAAATCCTGGACTTTTAGGTGTGCCTTGAGGAGAGGGTTGAGGAGCACTGCTCTATTGTGCCGGTTGTCTGTTCCACATAGAAGGTGCAGGATTTTATATCTTGCTTGTAGAGAGCAATTTAATCTGTATCAGCAGTCTCTAAAGGAAACTAAGCTAGCTACATGTAAAATTGAAATAAAGTTCAAGATAGGAATATAAAATAAACAGAAAATTAACAAGAAATTAAGTGGCATAGCAGGTAACCAGAATTTTCAGAATCGTTTTGTCAAGATTACTAAGATTAAAACTAAGATTTATCTTTGAACATTTGTGACACTTCAGTGGAGAATTCTTTTAAATAACCTCATACAAATAATCCATGTTGTGTACTGAAAGACATTACTGGATAGACTCCAGTTGAACATGTGTCAAAGTATATATGGCTTTGTAAGTATTCACATAAAAAATGAGTGACTGTTGTGCATCAAAATCGTGCCAAGGACTGTACACTTTCAGCCTTTTGGGTCTTGTTAGGTTGGTGCTGGCTCTGGTCTGTAAAGTTCATGGCTGTTTTTTTTTTTTGTCACTGTTTCTTTTATACAAAATCCATGCTTTGGTTTAAAACAAACAAACAAACAGCCTATATTTTTTTTTTTTTTTAAAAGTGTTCTATTGCTGAAGGTGCTCATTTGCAAACAGGTTGGGAATCCTGGAATGGTTTTAATTTATTATTTCTCTAAATTTCTGTGCCCAAGATTGATTTCCCAAACACCAACTTGAAGTATGCGTGTGATGCTCAGCGGCAATTTTTTTTATTTGCATCAACTTGTGAAATGGTTTCATTATATTTGGCTTCATCACAAAAAGTCATGCATAGAAAAACATAAAGTCTAAACTAAAACACAATAAATGTACATCACCATGTGACCTTTCATTGGTCCTTAATGTTTTATAAACATTGTGGTAGTTTATCTGACACTCAGAGGAATGAGTCTAATTAGCTACAAATTAAATATCTTAATTATGTTTCAGATTAAAGATTAGCAAATAAATATGAGCCATTTAGCATTCACCATACTTCTTTTACAGGATGTAGGTTTTCATGTCTTGCCTGAACAGGTAGATTGAAGTATGTAATTTGGTATCCAGAATTGGAGGCAATAGCCCTGAATGCTTTACATCAAGAGACATGGGATTACAATTTTCCTTTTCAATGATTCCTAGGATTACTTTCCAACAACAAAAACATAAATATAGTTTTAGTAATTCCCTCTCAAGCAAATCGGCCACTAGACCTATGCAGGTTGGGAATGTCTTTAGATTCACCAAGATACTTCCCAATGTACCTATTAAGGGGGCCTGAGGAACATTCAAAATCTTATCAAACGGGGGAAATTAGAAGAGAAAATGAGGAAACATCTTATATGAGAATAGTTTTGTGTAAGCTGTTAAAAGGAATCGCAATGTTTGGATTCTCTAAACCAGAGGTAGGCAACCTTCAGCACTCCAGATGTTCTGGACTTCATCTCCCACAATGCTAGCAAAGCATCAGAAAATATGTCTACATCATCTAGAGTGTCGAAGGTTGAGTACCCCTGCTCTAAATTAAAATATTTAGGAAGCTTTGGAAGGTAAATAATATTATATTAATATAATTATCTTTACAAAATGACCTCTGAATGACAAAAATGATCTAAGAATGATAAAATACAACAAAACTTGTTGTTTATGTTTCTTTTTTGTCTCTTATGAAAGAGTTTAAGGTGAAACGGCTTTAAACATCTCACCTTCTAGACTCAGTTTTGACATCTCTAAAAGAACAAATATTCTCACATCTGGTTTATAACCAGCTATTTATCAGAAGTAAAAGTTTTGTATTGCTTCTTAGTTGAGATTTTATCGAACTTAAACTAAAAAACGTAAATGCCTTTTACTAACTTAAAGGGACACTACAGTCATCAAAACAACTTAAGCTTAATTAAACAGTTTTGGTGTATAGATCATGCTCCTGAAGTATGGGTGCTCAATTCTCCATCATTTAGGAGTTAAATTGCTTTTGTTTCTGTTTATGCAGGCGTAGCCACACCTCCACTGACTGTGACTCACATAGCCTGCATGAAAAGAAATAGTTTCACTTTTAATCAGATGTAACTTACTGTAAAAGTTTGTATTTCCTGCTCTGTAAATTGGACTTTATTTACATACAAGAGGATGCTGCAGGGTCTAGAAAGCTATTAACAGAGCAGGAGATAAATAATTCTAAATTAAACAGTATTTTCAATACAGGAAGTGTAAACATTAGATGACTCTTTGGAGGAAGTGTTGGAAGGCTGTGTAAGTCACATGCAGGGAGGTGTGACTAGGGCTGCATAAACAAATTGATTTAACTCCCAAATGGCAGAGAATTAAGCAGTGATACTGCAGAGGCATGATCTACATACCAAAACTTCTTCATTAAGCAAAAGTTGTTTTGGTGACTACAGTGTACCTTTAAGTTGGAAACACTCAGAGTCAACGATCATCTTTTCATTTGGCTACCTTTTCAACAATTGTATATTTTTTTTCTTGTAGCTGAAGACATTAGGAATGTCTATATGTCATAACGGTACCCTTGGTGGATTCAACATCTTACATTTTATTATAGGTTAATCATTTCTTCTGTGATGAGTATTTGTACCAATGATGAGCTTATGGATGAATGAAAAGAAAAAAGGAGAATGATAGTCAGAAACCTTACATAATGCACAGTTTATACTGATTGGATGATGTTCAAAATTACAATGTTCATTTCTTCAGTATAATGTTATTTAAATTTAGCTTTTCTGTGAGACAGGAAAGAGCATAATATTCACTTCTTTCAGGTTATCTTGATTTTTTTACTACACTTTTGTTAGTTAAATCTATGAATTATTCACCACTGAAATTAACATAAGGCCCTGTATCTGTTACCTGAATAGCAGAGTTGTCTTATATTTCTATCACAATATATGGAGACATTTGCTGTTCAATGATCTGAAATGTATCATAAATGATTTCATTTATTACTAGGTGAATCCACAAAATGCCTAATGCGATGTGGGTGTTTTTGGCACACCTGATTATGCTTTTCATATATTATATCAAAATGATAATTTTATATTTCTTTTACAAACCTATTGCAAAAATGTTTATTGTGAATGTTTTTGTTAATATTTTTTTTATTAGTTTTGAAAAGCAAGTACAAATCTTTTATACCTTAGATTCAATTTACTTAATTAAAGGGACACTCCAGATGCCTAAAGCACTTAAGCTTGCTGAAGTGTGTTGTTTGTGAAGAGTGTGTCCTTTTTCATTTTATAAAAGGTTTTAAGATT